ACTTTATATAGTTTTAATTGTTACAGATGTCCAAGAGTATTGGTAACGTGGTGGATCCACATGTCTGTGTACAGAGGTTCACTGCTGACGGATTTCGTTTTGGTCTTCTGAGAGAAGATCTCTTACATTCTGATGGAGGTATGAACATAAGCTCTTGTGATCTATTTTTGTTATGTCTATTATATCCATCAGCAAAGTCGAATGTCCAAGCAGTTAAGGCAGGGGCACCGCTACCTACAGCCATAATAACAGCATTGTTTCGAATGGCTCGCCTATGGTTCTGGAGGTGGAAAAAGTCTTCTCAGATGACTATAAACCGTGGGCCCAGTGTACACAATTGGCACATGTGCACTTTAAAGAACCCCTTATATCTTTCGAGATGAGTAGGGGGTTACCCCGGTGTACTCATCCATACGGCCCATGTTGTCTTGTGATTAGGCAAGTTCTACCACTGGGGACATCCTGAGGCCTAGGCATTTCGCTGTGTCCTGGGCACGACGTTATAAACTGCATCCGGTCGAGTCGTCGGCGACTAAAAAAAAAACAGCTGAACAAAGGGCGGATGAACTCCTCGGAGCCAACAGCCAACCATGCCTTAGTTTAAGGAGTAGGTTTTTTTAGTTTCATAAAAACTTCAACTTTGTTTTTTCTCAAAATGTCCAAATCAAAGAGCTCAATCACCAAGCGCATAGAGGCTTTTTCGCATGATGCGCTCTACAAATCCAACTATTATTATTATTATGTACATAGTTACCAGTCTTTATTTGTGACTGGTGCACAACCTTATTGTTGTAGAGGTCTAGGCTAGTCTTTAAAAATAGAATGCCAAAACAAAAAACAAAAAAAAATAAGGGAGCATAAAGTCTGCAGTGTCTTTGGTGTCAAAGTACTAAAAAAAAAGTATGTGTCTAAAAAATCGAAATTTGCTCAGGCTAGGCTGCTGGAGACCTTGGTTGCGCTGTTTCAAAATAGACACAATAAAATGTTGTATCCTGTATATAAAACGAACATATATTATTATATTATTCAGTTTCATTCTGTGAGTCTTTTCGCTTATTGTATTTTTCAAGTTAATTCAGTTACAACTTGCATGCAAACAATATAGAAAATTTTGTTTGTTCTTAGATTATAGTGAGGCGAAAATGGTAGCCATTTTAAATGCAGAATTGGCAGACACATTTGGAAATCTTCTGTCAAGGGTCACAGCTAAGTCACTGAACCCTGACCAAATTTTTCCAGAATTCCACACTGATCTATTTCCAAGTCGTCCTGACGGGAGCCTTCGATCCAGAGCTTCAAAAGAGGATTATGAACTGATAGACAAGTTAAAAGAATTGCCAGGTAAACCATTTGATGATTGATGAAAATTTAGTAGAAATCAATTGTTAATTCATTTTTAATTTTTTTTTTTTTTTTTTTTTTTGAGATACAGACAAGGTGGACACCTTTTTACAACATTTTTCCAGTGAATTATGTAAATTATATTTGTGAGTGAGTTATTAGGCAGTTTGATTGGCCATAACATTTTAGTCACACCATTTACTTTTGGGGTCTCACCCTCTTATTTAAACGACAGCAGTATTTATGATTTTAAATGAAGGAAAGAGAAATAAAGTTGCATCTACATTTTTTCACTTGTTTAGGTAGAAAATGTATTTATTACTATTTTTGTTAATAAGTAATATGAAATAATGAATTATAACTAGAAAGAATAGGGAACCCAAGTCTCCGGAAAGTCGGATCTCCCGGAAAATAACCAATCTTCTGCATATTCGTAATACAGGTCTCCCTAGAACTAAAGAATTCTTTTGGGACCCGCATTTCCATGGACTTTAGCACTCTTGGTCTTTATTAGGATAAGAAAGATAAAACACATTTGTTAGTATGAGAAAAGTGGTCTTTAATTGGAGGGGTCTCTATTTAGAGGGAGACCTGTATTTGCATGTTTTTACTACTTTATTATCAAATTGCCTCAAAGAATTCAGTGTCATTGGGCACAGTGGTGGCACCAGCAGGGGCTTAAGGGCCCCCCCCCCCACCGGACAGGTCAAGCCCCCACAACAGACAGAGCTTGTCGGGCATTCGTACTAAAAAAAAATATAAAAATAGGCCCACGCCAAGCCAACACATGTCTGTCACAGTCTGAGAGTATCATTTCTGGCCATCCAGAGGCTCCTATTCTTTAAAAAATTTCATTTGGGAGGGGAACACCCTGTCAAACCATTCCCCCAGTCTCGGGTCTATGAGCCCAAGTCCCCTGTCAGATAGCTGTCTCTTATACACATCTATATATCCTAGAGCCGCCACTGATTGGGTATAAATATGCGCAGCAAAATACATTGTAGGTGTGTTGAGAAAACTTGAGCCATTTAACCAGCAGGCCCGTATTTAGGGGGTGTTCGTCCGAACCACCCTGTGGGAGATGAAGTTCCGTGAAAATTAGGAAGACTTTTTCATTGCCGTTTTATTCTGTAGGCCTACAAAAGCGGGCTAAAACAAAAATAGTACATACATAGTTAGGGATCCCAGGCCAACAATTTAAAATGAATCTTGGAGAATTTTATTGAGTTTACTAATAAAAGTTACTATTATGATAAAATCTAAAACATTATCATAAGCTCGCCTTATTTAAAGCACTAAAAATGTATATTTATTTATACTGTAAAAGGGCCTGAGGCCTATCACACTGAATAAAGAGAAGAAGAAGTATGTGGGTTTTGATTTTTGATAAGGAGTTCCGCATAGTCTCAAGCCTGTCTCTTATACACATCTAGATGTGTATAAGAGACAGGCATTGGACTGCAGCGAAAAATGATTCCCCCATCATTAATGGGACTCTAGTTGAGTGTCATTCATTTCAGCACAACTTATATAGGTAAACATTAATGAAAAACAGGGCTCCTGGTCAGAGTGCCTGTCTTTCTTTCCTTCCAGACTGCAGTGCTATTTGGGTATTCTTCCCCTTTAGAACATGTATTTTTTACCTCAAGAATATTTCATTCATTGTTCAAAAACTAAACAAGGAAATCATGCAAACAATACTGAATGAAATACAATAACATACCCATGTCATGAAAAGAAACCTTTTCTGTATTATAAATTGTTGCTAACAAAGGTAACAGAATAATGCAATTCCTGAAAAGAAATTGCTGAAGCCTACATGCAATGAAGGAAGTAATGGCTGCTAAGGCTTCTATTCGAAGTAATCATGAAAAGGTAATGAACATCTTGTTTGTATGTTTTCTCGTGTATTGCTTTTACCTGGATAATGAATAAATGTTAAAATCGAGCCTTAAATTTTACAAAATTATGAATAGGGCATAGAAGAATATTGCATTTAAATTTTGAGTCTGACAGTGCCATTTCCAGTCATCTAGAGAAGTGCCATAGACATCTGTAAAATTTATTCTGACCCCATCCCCCACCCCAACATGTCTCAAATTCCCATATCCACCACTGTTTAATGAATCGTCTTCTGTCTATAACCTTATTGTTGGAATATGGACAATGAGTAATATTTAGACATAGGGGTCCGTGAAGACTTTTGGCATGTCCCGAGGGGTCCTTGAATGCAAAAAAGTTTGGGAACCACTGATCTATGATATTTGTATTATTTTGCTTATTCAGATTCCATGCAATTTACTGGCCAGCATTTCTCATGGCTGCAGGCATGCCACCTCCAAAATCCATAATCTGCCACTCCCATTGGACTAGAGATGGGTCAAAGGTTAGTTATGTTGCTCATACTCGAAAAGATGTAATATAAGATAATAATCATAATTTACTTTCTGTTGTCCCCTGAAAATGACAAAAAAATATTTAAAAATAATTTTGGAAATGAACTTGCTCATTTTGCTGTGACATACGAATGATTAACCTGAGCATAGAAATTATTGAATTTTTAAAAAATGTGGTTTTTGGGGTGGGGGGGTTAGGGCAGTGGGGTGAGGTCTTTTTTTGGGCAATACATCTTTGAGTACAATTTAAGTATAATGAAAAATGGTAAAATTTGTACACAAAATAAATTGAATGAATAAACTTTATATAGTTTTAATTGTTACAGATGTCCAAGAGTATTGGTAACGTGGTGGATCCACATGTCTGTGTACAGAGGTTCACTGCTGACGGATTTCGTTTTGGTCTTCTGAGAGAAGATCTCTTACATTCTGATGGAGGTATGAACATAAGCTCTTGCGATCTATTTTTGGTTATGTCTTTTATATACTTCAGCAAAGTCGAATGTCCAAGCAGTTTTAAGGCAGGGGCACCGCTACCTGCAGCCATAATAACGGCATTGTTTTGAATGGCTCGCCTATGGTTTTGGAGGTGGAAAATGTCTTCTCAGATGATTATAAACCGTAGGTCCAGTGTACACAATTGGCACATACTAGTCCATACGGCCCCTGTTGTCTTGTGATCAGGCAAGTTCTAGGCTAGTCTTTAAAAATAGAATGCCAAAACAAACAAAAAACAAAGAAAATAAGGGCGACAAAAGAAGTCCCAAGCCGAACCCCCCCCCCCATTGAAATTCCTAAATACAGGCCTGACCAGATATCTAATGACTTCTTATAATAACTTGGGACCCCGAAAAGACATACTAACTGTGATTACTATTTTCTTTCATTGTTCATAAACTGTTGCTCTCTGTTTCTTTCATTTCAGAATTAGTTGACAAATACTACCA